TCACACCTCTCAATTGCTATCCTGTCTGATAATGACATGCGTCAGTCTTACTTATCCAATTACCACCCGTACTTACCTTTCATAGGACAACTGTTTGACCTGTTAAAAACATAAACCTTTGAACATTTCCTTTGCTTCTACCCTTAGCCCCACCCATCGGTGTAACAAGCACAGTCAACCAATGCCACCCCTCACTGCCAACTTGTAACAACGATTCAAGGAACTCTTTTGTCGGCTGGCCATACGATCAGGGCGGCAGGCATTGGTCAATCTAATTTCACACCTCTGGCTTCTGGCTACCCATGAAAGTTTCCGTAGTGGCTCGCTACCAAAAGTTCTAAACTCCTTGCTCGCTACTCAGGCACTCTCACGGGCAGTCGTGAGATTTCACACCCATACGACCACCCTGACCATCTGTATCGCTCAGGGCCAAGGAGATTAAAAGTAGTTCTAAACTCCTTGCTCGGGGCTCACATGATGGGGTAATATCACAGAATTCTACACTAATAGAACGGGAACTGTACCACGTGACCTGTGAGGAATTGAAGACCGAAAACAATGGCGTCTTGAGGGCACGATTTATCGTTTTCGGAAGTAACCCTATAGCTTTTAAAGCAAGAGCGGCTTTTACAAACGAGTGAAAAGTGGAACATTTACTGTCCAGTTTGTAATTTTGAGTTACAGAATTCACTGTGCAACTAGAGATTGGAATTAAGGTTTTAAATTGTTGTGTTTTTGGGTGCAACAACAGAAACAGCAGACATAGAGAGTTTATATATAAGATCTACAGAACTGTGAAAAAATTCGTAACATGGATGGGATTGTTCACAGCACCTCTAGCTTCCCACACACATTTTGCATACGCATATATGGCCTACGTAATTTTTTAGTAGCACAACTTGTTACAAGAAATTTGTTTTACACTGAACATATTTTTTCACTAGATCTAATTAATGTTCTCAAAACATGGGTACAATAATTAACTTTATGTCGCCAGCAGAAGTAGAAAAAAGGACGGACTTGCTTTTAAAAGAGATTTAGCTCCAGCTATATAAACCTTTTAAAAATCTGTAGAAACCATTGACTGGGATTTTTTTTAAAATATTGGGCTAGTATTTATTAAAGAATTTTCTTTAAAGAAATTTCTAGAATAATATAGAACCTATAGAAGTGTACAAATGTTTGAAAAAAAATACTCATCGGTTAAGACGAATTGATATAGATCTAAGTCATTGTGTAAAAGTAGGAGAATCTAGTTCTAGGTGTTCGATAGTTCAGTAGCCTAGATATTTGATAATAAGTTGCACATCAAATTTTTGACCGCATGCTACAGTAGTAGAGATAGCGTATTATTTTCATCCGAAACATTAATTTCCGCATCCATACACCTTTTTGGGCCTTTATAAGCACATGTAGTCCTACTTTAATTATGTTACTTTCATAATTGTTTTTGAAAGCATTTTCAATTCCTTTCACTTTCACTTTCCACGCGCGGGCTCATATAATTATGATTATAATTTAAGATTCCAAATCTGACGAATGTATTATTAAATAGCGTATAATGCTGAGTTAGCCGATGCATTGCAATGCACGCTATTATCAATTATTGAATTGTAACTAGACTTCATTTTGATCCGTAACAAGAGACCACTTATTTTTTTATACGTGTTCATGAATGTGTGTTTGTTTATTGTGTGCGGGGATTAAAAATTAAAGATTAAAGATTCCAGATCTGACGAATGTATTTATAAAATAGCGTAATAGTGCTGGATTAGCCGATGTCTTGCGATACACGCTTTTATCAATTAATTGAATTGTAACAGGACTTCAATTTGATCCGTAACAAGACAACACTTATTTTTTCTTATACGTGTTCAAAAATGTGTGTTTGTTTACTGTGTGCGGGGATTAAAGATTCCAGGTCTGATGAATGTATTTATTAAATAGCATAGGCCTATAGGGCAGGGGTAGCCAATGCATTGCGATGCACACTTTTATCAATTAATCGAATTGAAACAGGACTTCAATTTGATCCGTAACAAGAGACCACTTATTTTTTCTTATTCGTGTTCAAAAATATGTGTTTGTTTACTGTGTGCGGGGATTACAGGGGGACAAGCCCATCCCCTCGACATGTGATCCAGCGTATGGGGATACATTTTTCTCAAAATGCACACAGCTCTGAAATCCTTGACCAGTGATCACTCGCCATGGAACTCTTTCTGTTGTGACTGTAGACACAAGTTTCTTCATTATTACATCTAAATGAGCCTATCATTCATGCTTTAGAAATCACACTCCCAAAAATGACTTTGAACATATATTCAGGAAACATATGCCAGTTCCACTCTTGTTTACTTTGTTTTGCATTATTGGCTTTTATGTGTAAACCAATATTTTGAGGCCTTTTCTGCATTTTTGTGTTTTTGGCAGCATGTACAATAGGCCTATGTATTTTATGTGCAACCGACACATTCTCTAATCTCTACTCTTGTATTTGTTAGACTCGCACGTGCTTTAAACAAAGCATGTTGTTGTACACACTACTGATGCAAACACAGAGATGAATTCTTAAAGTGAGAAATAATATATTTCCTCAATATAAGCTCAATTTATTTATCTCTTTCTAGTAAATTGGAGAAAAGGCTTATATTATTCTTTTTTGCTTGCTTTGGATGGCCCTAAGTTTAATGACAATATTATTGTAGTGAGCATGTTACTGTCAGCGTCCCCTTATCGTAGATCTAGATCTAGTACTAATCAAGACTATATCTAGATATTTTGCCAACAGAATTAATGTTCATAATTAGTGTTATTATCAAGTGTATTGTGATTGTGAAGATCTTTAGTAGATCTAGATATCTAGAGATCTAGATCTATCTAGTTCTAGATCCCATCCCATCATATAAAAAAACAACAACAAACCAACAATACAAATACAAAAACATTGTAACATTGCCAATTATGACATATTGTTCGCAATAAAAATGTACTAGACTATTTCACTATATTTCCTCTTCGAAGAAAGTTTTAAAATACTGATGTAAATTGTAAGGTGTCTTTCAAGCCCTACCACTAGCATCAGCGTGCATAGCAACGCGAAGCCTCGCTGTGCGGCGCAGCCAAAGGTGCCCTCAACCGGCCGCCATGTTTTAGTTTCAATTCCTCACAGCGAATCGACGATCGCGAAGAGGGAGTTCCGCTTCTATAAGTGTAGAATTCTGTGGGTAATATCTAATCTCAGATTGCACCTCTACTATTCCTCGTCCAGCGGCATGGCCAAGGCGTTAAGTTTAGGACAGGCGAAACCAAACCTGCGAGTTTTGTTTCAAATCAGGGCTGAGGGGGGAAAGCATTTTCCGTTTTAGACAGGTGAAACCTAGGTCCCCAGATACCCTGTGTAATCGGGAGGCCTAGGGTGAAACCCTCGGGAGGGAGCGGATTTTTCTTTCCGTTTCCGCGTTGGACAGGTTTCCGTTTTATACGGGTAATTAAAGAGGAATATCAAGGGGGGAGCGGGGGAATTCCGTTAAGACAAGACTTCCGCTTTATACAGGTTTCCGTTGAGGCAGGTTCGACTGCAATATATGTGGATGCGCAGAACCTAGAGATTCCAGTGAGGTCTTTGCTCAGATATATTTGTATCATGTCTGTTTGATAGATGGTAAGAATCTAATGCCCCTTTCTACATTGCATTTAAGAGGCCAGATCTCGGATTTTGACGCTTATCTCCTGTGGGGCATTGCAAAGTAAGTGCTGAGCCTTTAAAACTTCCCAAACAACCGAAGGCATGTCGTGCTATTTGGGGTAGAACCAGGGCTGTCCGCACTAAATGGCGTCGATGGCCTAGTGGTTAGGCTCTCGGACTCGCAACCGTAAGGTCTTGAGTTCGAATCCCGCCAGGGACCCGATGTTGCGTCCTTATGAATGGTATTTATCATGATTTCTTTCTCATATCACTCAAGTGGAAATTGTTACCTGGCGAAAGGCAGCGAAATATCTTATAAGTTTGCTAGTGTTTTGAGCGGTCACTCTGCTGTTGCACTGTATGCTGTCAGCGGGGTGGGGGGGGGGGGGGGGGGTAATAGGCCTAATACAGAGATTGAAAAGCAAGCATAGAGGTAGCTGTTAAGAGGGGATGTGCGCTATATAAGTGCAATTTATTATTATTATTATTATTATTATTATTATTATTATTATTATTGTTATTATTATTATTATTATTATTATTATTATTATTATTTTTATTTTTATTTTTATATCTTATTATATTTGTTATCATTATTTTTGACAAGATTCCGCGAGAAATACATAACACAAAACAATGTAGTGAGTCATTAGGTTTACAAAATTATCCTTCCCTGGGCCTAACTTTAACCGCTTAAAAATATTTATAAACATAATAAAATAATATGATTGCAGATCTACTATTATTGGTCAGGTATAGTTTTCCATTGTGAGGATATGATAAAATTTGTCGTTTGACTCGGCGTTACACTGGGCCAAGGCTTGTTGTACCTCTATTCTTACTAAACTTTCGAACATTGGTTATGTGTGTGTGTGTGTGTGTGTGTGTGTGTGTGTGTGTGTGTATGTGTGTGTGTGTGTGTGTGTGTGTGTGTGTGTGTGTGTGTGTGTGTGTGTGTGTGTGTGTGTAATGTACTCCACCATAGTTTTCGGTGTCATGTCTTGACAACAGGCCCGAGCACGTAACAAGGCAATTGAGGCCGCTCAATGGGACGATTTGTTTGAATTGGAGATCAAAGTGCTCGGTCTGAATCAACCCGGAGCGTACGTTTTGATTAACTGGCCCGGCGATCGTTGTTATCTGTCATCGTCTGACGTGTGCGTGTTGACAAACCCATGGCCGGCCACTTTCTCCCTGGCTCTGTGCTCAAGTGTTTATCTCCATGCGGTCATCTCAGGGGGTGGAGATAATCTATAATATTGTCATGTGCAGGCGAGATGGTATTTCTACGCTGCACAGTCACCATGTTGTTGAACAAACATTTTATGGGTATCGCACGTTGAACGAGTATGCTGTATTATGACGCAGGCAATCGTTACCGTAGAGTTACAAAGCTGGTCAGTACCTAGTTTAGAGAAATTTAACATCAAAGTTTTTGAGTTTCACTACATTACGTCAAGCTTTTTCGAATGCAAATCTTTGAATATTTTGATAACGGCTCCGAATAATCTTTCGATTTTGATAGGGCAGATAGAGTATTAACTTGCCTCACGGTCTTTGTAACTCAAAACATTAAAAATGTCAGACAGAACTTTGTTCTAAGGTAGCGAAATTATGCTCCGGGATGTTGTGTTCATGATTCTCATACTGGTATGGTACAGATTTTTAATTCCTTTTTTCTAGTCCCATAAATATTCTAATTCTCAGTTCATTTAGGATACATCAATTGTAAGAGACCATAATTATTAAAATTACAAGACTAAAGTCAAACTTGTCCAAGACGTCAACCCGTTGTCGAGTTGAAAAGTGGTCATCTACACATGTGGTCCTCTTGGGGTTTGTCATTACAATAAATATTGAAGAAAACAAACAAAAGGGAGGAATTATTAGTGGGAAGTGGTCGTTTGTACAGGTGATTGTCTTTGGCAGGTGATCGATCGAAAAAGTTCAACTGTATTTGTCATAAGCGTGTTTTCTTAGTCCCCAAATAAAGTAATGACAGTCAAACCTACTCAAACGGTGACCTGTCCAAGACAATCACCTGTACAATCGACCACTAGCCACTTTCTCCCTCGCATTTTTTTCCATAATATTGTAATGGCACTTCCAAGATGCCTACCTGTCTAAAACAAGAGTATCGCCCCC